GCCCCTGAGCTCCAGTCTTCCACCTCCAAAGACCAGCCTGTCATCCCTGGGCCCACATCTCGGGCCACTCGGGGCAGGACCCGTAAGTCCTCTAGTAATACCCCTGACCTAGTTGTCCCCACAGCCCCTGAGCTCCAGCCTTTAACCTCCATCAACCAGCCTGTTACCACCAAGCCCACATCTCGGGCCACTCGAGGCAGGACACATAGGTCTTCTGGCAAGACTTGTAAACCAATTGTCCCCACAGCCCCTGAGCTCCAGTCTTCCACCTCCAAAGACCAGCCTGTCATCCCTGGGCCCACATCTCGGGCCACTCGGGGCAGGACCCGTAAGTCCTCTAGTAATACCCCTGACCTAGTTGTCCCCACAGCCCCTGAGCTCCAGCCTTTAACCTCCATCAACCAGCCTGTTACCACCAAGCCCACATCTCGGGCCACTCGAGGCAGGACACATAGGTCTTCTGGCAAGACTTGTAAACCAATTGTCCCCACAGCCCCTGAGCTCCAGTCTTCCACCTCCAAAGACCACCCTGTCATTCCTGAGCTCACATCTCAGGCTACTCCAGGCAGAACTCATACATCCTCTAGCAACACCCCTGACTCAGTTGTCCCCACAGCCCCTGAGCTCCAGCCTTCCACTTCCAAAGACCACCCTGTCATCCCTGGGCCCACATCTTGGGACAGTCAGGGCAGGACCCATAGGTCCTCTAGCAAGACCCCTGAACCAGTTGTACCCACAGCCCTTGAGTTCCAGCCTTTAACCTCCACCAACCAGCCTGTCACCCCCAAGCCCACATCTCAGGCCATGAGAGGTAGGACACGTAGGTCTTCTAGCAAGACCTCTGAACCAGCTGTCCCCACAGTCCCTGAGCTCCAGTCTTTCACCTCCAAAGACCAGCCTGTCATCCCTAGGCCCACCACTCGGGGCAGGACCCATAGGTCCTCTAACAACACCCCTGACCCAGGTGTCCCCATAGCTCCTGAGCTCCAGACTTTATCCTCCAAAGACCAGCCTATCACACCCAAGCCCACATCTCGGGCCACACGAGGTAGGACATGTAGGTCTTCTAGCAAGACCTCTGAACCAATTGTCCCCACAGCCCCTGAGCTCCAGCCTTTAACCTCCAAAGACCAGCCTATCACCCCCAAGCCCGTATCTCGGGCCACGCAAGGCAGGACACGTAGGTCTTCTAGCAAGATCTCTGAACCAATTGTCCCCACAGCCCCTGAGCTCCAGCCTTTAACCTCCAAAGACCAGCCTATCACCCCCAAGCCCGTATCTCGGGCCACGCAAGGCAGGACACGTAGGTCTTCTAGCAAGATCTCTGAACCAATTGTCCCCACAGCCCCTGAGCTCCAGCCTTCTGCATCTAAAGACCAGCCTGTGACCCCCAAGGCCACTTGGGGCAAGACTCATAGGTACTCTAGCAATACCCCTGACCCACTTGAACCCATAGCTCCTGAGCTCCTGCCTTCCACTTCCACCAACCATCTTGTCACCCCTAATCCCATCTCTCAGGCCACTAGGAGCAGGACACATAGGTCCTCTGTTAAGACCTCTGAACCAGTTGAAATGACAGGCCCTGATCTTGAGCCTCCCACCACCACAGACCATACTGTCACCTCTGAGGCTGTAGCTCGGGGTGGTCAGAGCAGGACACTAAGGTCTTCCACAACATCTGCCATGCCAGTTCCTACCACCCCTGGTTCCCAGTCTCCTGTGACCACAGCCCAGCCTGTTCTCCCAGAACCCATTCCTCAAGCCAGGTGCAGCAGGAGACAGAGGACTGCTGGGAAGCCTGACTCTCTCACAGCTCCCATTTTCCACAGACCTTGCTCTGCACCCTTTGAACCTCAATCCCGATCCTCAAGGAACCAAAGACCAAGAACATTGAGAGCAGTTGAGTCCCTTAGGACAATTTCTGAGCCTTCCTTTCCCCAGCTTCTTGAGGTGCCCGCTCATGTTCCCCAGGTAGAAACGGTGGAAACAGCAGGTAAATTTGGGTTCACTCCAGAGCCCCAGCCTGAGGCCTCTCAAAGCCACAAGAGGCCTTTAGCTACCATGGATTCACCCCCACATCAAAAACGGCCCCGCAGAGGGGAAGTCCCCCAGAAGACATTGTTACTCAAGGAAGAGGAAGAAGATGCTGCAGAGAGGCCAAGGAAGGAAGAGGTGAGGAGAGGGCTGGGGCCACAAAGCTGGGGAAAAGGGCTTTAGGGCTCAGAAACTCCCACCAAGATCTTTCTTAGCCTCAGGATGTAGTGATTCCAGGACCAGTCAAGAGAAAGAGAGACCAGGCAGAGGAGGAACACAAGGGAATACCGAACCACAGCCTCCGACGGACCAAACCCAACCAAGAATCTACAGCCCCCAAAGTAGGAGAAAAGGGGCCTGGGACCTCACAGGAGACAGATGTGGGAGGAAGGGAGGAGACTAGGGGATTGTAGAGATGGGTTCTGATGGTGTGGTTTGCTGTGACCAGCTCAGGCTAACCCCTCCACAGGTGCTCTTCACAGGAGTGGTGGATACTCGTGGAGAACGGGCAGTGCTGGCACTCGGGGGGAGTCTGGCTGGCTCTGTGGCAGAGGCTTCCCACCTGGTCACTGATCGAATCCGCCGAACAGTCAAGTTCCTGTGTGCCCTAGGGCGGGGGATCCCCATCCTCTCCCTGGACTGGCTGCATCAGGTGAGAGGCCAGGGAGGTGATGACAGACCAATAGAGATAGTGACAGGAAAAGACTGCTCACATAGTGCTCTAGAATGTGGGAGAAAATAAATTAAAAAACAACAACAAAATGCCCAAAGTGGTGGGAGGAAAGAGGGGATACAGGAAGGCAAGGGGGGCCGGTGAGGCATAAGGCATGATTCGTTCAAGTATTTTGAGACCTCTCTACAAATGCTAGACAGGAGCTGGGTGGGGGATGGGCTGAGCTTTAATGGTGACTGCTACCCTCCTTAGTCCCGCAAGGTTGGTTGCTTCTTGCCCCCGGATGAGTATGTGGTGACCGATCCTGAGCAGGAGAAGAACTTTGGCTTCAGCCTCCGGGATGCCCTGAGTCGGGCTCGGGAGCGAAGGCTGCTGGAGGTTAGAGGCTATCTTCTACCCCATGTGTCAACCCTCTCTCCGGAGGTTTCCCAGTGGTCAATGACCTCTCAGTGTATACATCCTCTGTCTCCATCAATTCTTTCTCTTAGGGTTATGAGATTCATGTAACCCCTGGGGTCCAGCCTCCACCACCTCAAATGGGAGAGATCATCAGCTGCTGTGGAGGCACTGTCCTACCCAACATGCCCCGGTCTTATAAGGTATGGTTGATATGTTCTGGGTCTGGTGAGGTGGCAGTTACAGAGGTGGCCGGGGTGGCAAAAGGTTGGAGAAAAAAATGGAGGTACAGATAGTAATATAGAGGGTGGGAAAGACCTATGGTATAGAAAGGGATAGGAACAAGGGGAGAGATCTACTGATACCAAAAGGACTTATTTTTATTTTGTATTTTTAAAATCTTCAAATATACACAAAAGGAGAGAGAATAATGAAATGCAGTGAGTCCTCCCCATGTACCAATCACCCAGATTCAACAGTTTAATTTAGATCATGCTACATTAGCTCCATCTATCCCTTTTTTCTTTTTTCTTTCTTCTTTTTGTTTTTGCTGAAGTATCTTAAAGCAGACTGCAAACATCATATTCTGTCCTCCTACATACTTAAGTATACATCTATAAGAAATATGTACATTTTCTTACATAATCATAATGCCATTATTGATCTCTACCAAAATTAACAATAGTTTCTTGGACATTTTCTCAAACTCCATTAATCAAATTTCTCCAGTTGTCTGAAAAATATCTGTATACAGTTATTCAAATCAGGATTCAAATAAGGTCCACGCATTGCTGCAATTGTTGTATCTCTTAATTCTCTTTTACTCTAGAGCATCCCCCAGCCCACCCAGACTTTTTTATGCCATTGACTTCCTACAGAAACTAGGTCAGTTGTCCTTTAGAATGTTCCCCAGTCTGGAGTTTTCCGTTTGCTCCCTTGTTGTATCATTTGTCTTGTTCCTCTAGCTTTTATATTTCCTATAAATTATAGTTAACTTTAAAAGCTTGAATAAATTTAGTTTCAACTTTTCTGGCAAGAATACTTGATAGTACAGTGTGCTTCAGATGACTTTATATCAGGAGGTATTATTTTAGTGATGCTAAGACTGATTAGTGAGTCCTGAACCTATTTCTAGGGTTCTCTTTTATCCCGATTTCTGTCTTTGCTCTGTCTTCCCTAGCCTCAGAGAGTTGTGATCACATGCCCCCAGGACTTCCCTCGATGCTCCATTCCATTTCGGGTTGGGCTGCCCCTCCTCTCACCTGAGTTCCTGCTGACAGGAGTTCTGAAGCAGGAAGCCGAGCCAGAGGCCTTTGTCCTCTCCACTTTGGAAATGTCATCCACATGAAATTCCCAGTATCCTTTTCCCTCCCCGACCAGTAAATAAAGTATTAGAAAATATTTGGAAGAAAGAACTCAGAGCTTTAAAAGGATTGGGGTATACTGTCCTGCAACATGGGTGGGACTAGAAAGGTTTATGAGAAAACACAAAGATAGGGAGATTGGGAGCCATAGATTTTCTAAAATGGCCGTTTTATCTTTGTGTGTGTGTGTTTGTGTGTGTGTGTGTGTGGCTGGCTGGTACGGAGATCCAAACCCATGATTTTGGGGTTATAAAGGCTGTGCTCTAACCAACTGAGCTGACCGGCCAGCCTAAAATGGCCATTTTAAAACTGGCCAGACCCACGCTCGTATATCTTAAGTGGGTGGGTGCCCATCTTTAGCCGGACTGACGCTGTTGTCACTCCATGGCACGCACAGTGTCCTGCCTCCTATTCAGACACCATCTCTCTTCCTCTTTTCTTGCTGGGATTCTTACTTATCCTTGAAAGACGGTGGAAACAGCTTTGGCCTCAGGAACTTGAGGGGATGCTTGGAGTGAGGGTAGAGTTATGGAATGTAACTCAAATATTTTCCTCTCCCCTGGCCTCTAGAAGCATCTTTTAGCTTTGAGCAAGTCTCTGCACTTTTCTGGCCCGCTTTTCCAGCGTTTATAAAATTAGAGCTAAGGCTTGACTTCTGTGAAAAATAAATATTCACTCTGTGCCTTATGGTGTAGTGTAGTTTTTCGTTTTTGTTTTTTTGGTCTGGGTCACGAGACATAAACTGTTAAAAAAAATAGCTATGTGGACTTGTATTTATCATTATCTTCTATTTAGGGAAAATTATGTCACATTTGTTAAATTAAAATTTTAAAAGTTGGTTGATTACAAGGATGTGGAGAAATTGGAACCCTTACACATTGCTGGTAGAAATGTAAAAATGGTTCAGCCTCTGCGGTAAACAGTTTGATGATTCCTCAAAAAATTAAACATAGAGTTACCATATGACCAGCAATTCTGCTCCTAGGTGTATACCCAAAAGAATTGAAAACAGGTGTTCAAATACTTGTATATGAATTTTCATATCAGCACTTTTCACAATAGCCAAAAGATGGAAACAACAGAAATATTCATCAATGGATGAATGGAGAAACAATTGTGATATATCTGTGCAATAGAATATTGTTCAACCATAAAAAGGGATGATGTACTGATACCTGCTACCTGCTACACGTTTTGAAGATGAACTTCAAAAACATTTTGCAGGGCCAGCCTGTGGCTCACTTGGGAGAGTGTGGTGCTGATAACACCAAGGCCACGGGTTCAGATCCCTATATAGGGCCGGCCCGTGGCTCACTTGGGAGAGTTTGGTGCTGATAACACCAAGGCCATGGGTTCGGATCCCTATATAGGGATGGCTGGTTGGCTCACTTGGGGGTGTGTGGTGCTGACAACACCAAGTCAAGGGTTAAGATCCCCTTACTGGTCATCTTTAAAGAAAGCAAAGAAAAAAAAAAAATTTGCTAAGTGAAGGAAGCCAGATGCAAAAGGCCGCATATTGTATGATTCCATTTATATTAAATATCCAAAATAGGTAGCTCCGAAGAGACCAAGAGCAGATTGGTGGTTGCCGGAGGCTGTGGGGAGGAGAAAATGGGGAGTAACTGCTTAACGGGTACAGGGTTTTATTTGGGTGTGATGAAAATATTTTGGAACTAGATAGAGGTGATGGTTGTATAGATGAAACATGTCTCAGTCAAATTAGTATAATTTGGGGGACAGTTTAATAAAGTGATAATTACAAAGTAGGCAGAGTGTAGGGAAATCACAAAGAATAGTTCAGTACACAGTAAACTCAAAAAGATGAGAGCAGTTATACAGAGGGCTTCAATAAACACTATGACCTTTGATGTAGACCGTTCAGAACAACTTTCTTTTTTTTTTAAAAAAGATGACCGGTAAGGGGATCTTAACCCTTGACTTGGTGTTGTCAGCACCACGCTCAGCCAGTGAGCGAACCGGCCATCCCTATATGGGATCCGAACCCAGGGCCTTGGTGTTATCAGCACTGCACTCTACCGAGTGAGCCACGGGCCGGCCCCAGAACAACTTTCTGAAGCAGAAAGTAGGGTGGAGAGTGAATCTAGAGGGAAAATGTAAGATGTCTGGTACAGTATACAATAGTGAGATTCAGAGGAGGGTAGGAGTACTGAGCCTAGGAGAGGGAGGAGAAGGAATGTAGAGCCTGTGGGATGCTGCTTGGCAATTTTCTCATCCTAGTCCACAGGACCAGCACCTTTAATTCTCATTCTGGGCAATATTCTTTATCTCTCTAAGCCTATATTTCTATCTGTAAGTAGAGGGAATTAGTTTAATGATATCTAAGGTGCCTACTATGTACATAGCTACTTTGACTAGGTTCTTAGCTGCATGATCTTTATTTTTTTTTATTTTTTATTTTTTCCTTTTGTCTTTTTTCGTGACCGGCAACGGATCGCAACCCTCAGTGTCGCGCCCGTACCGGACCGGGACCGGCCACGGGATCGCAACCCTCGGTGTTGCTCCCACACCTCGCTCAGCCAGTGAGCGGGAACCGGTCTGTATGTGGGATCCGAACCCTCGGCGGGAGCGCCGCCGCACTCCCAAGCGGCGCACTGTAGCAGTGCGCCACCGGGCCGGCCCAGCTGCATGATCTTTAATTTTGATAGAAGTTTATTTTTACTTTGCTTTTTGGGTATTAATGTGGGTCTGTAGGCAATTACAAGCAGGTCTGTAAGGAATAGGTTAAGACAAAAGATCTAGTGGCTTCTGATTAGTAAGTCAAAATAATGAGGTTGCAGAGTAGTCATGAATAGTTAATTATTACAAGCTTGGATAAAATTACTGCAAAGTTTACAACTGTAATAAACAGTTTTCTACCACAAATATTTCAACATACTTTTATTCTCATGGTTACCAATCAACAATCTTTGGAACTACTAGAAAAAACTTTCAGTGTTACCAAGTTCTTTGCTATTCTTAGCATGTGGAGAGGCAACAACTCAACCTTCTGAGTTACAGAGTAAGCATTATTTATATTTTGAGGTAAAGTCATTTTTTAAAAAATCTGACAAGATGTAACAGGTGATTCAGAGCTTTGGGTTCTCAGCCTGGATCAATTGGCTCTCACCGTTGATTAATAAAGTGAGGTTTTGTAACCTCTGACTCCGGTTATTTTCTAGCCACTGTTAAGTTAAAGAAAAGGGGAGCTCATAATGTTCTGTTTCCACAAGAACCCTGCAAGAGAGGAATTGTCTTCATATTAGATGGGAAAACTAGGCGAGCAAGGCTTCAACCCACGTGAGCGGCCGCAGAGCAGCTGCCTTTAACACTTCTCTCTCTCTCGGGATTATAACACTCCCTTCTGTGACGCGAAGATTCAGCTCCGGAAAGAAATCCCCGCACGCGGCCTGCAGCTGGGCTGGGGAGAGAGGCGCGGGCCGGACCGGAAGCCGGGCGACAGCGTGCAGGAGCCCCGCCCTCTTGGGCAGGATCCCAACTGGGAGGCGGGGCCGAGGGCGGGGCCTGCGCCCGCGGGAATCCCAAACCCGCCCCTTTCCCCACCCCTCTGCTTCTCGCCATGGCCCCTGCACTTCTCCTGGTCCCTGCGGCCCTCGCCTCTTTCATCCTGGCCTTTGGCACCGGAGTGGAGTTCGTGCGCTTTACCTCCCTTCGGCCACTTCTTGGAGGGATCCCGGAGTCCGGTGGTCCGGGTGAGCGGGAGGGATTGAGGATGAGCTCCGAGAAAGGAAGGTGGGGCCGAAGGAGAGGGCGCGAAGGCGGGGCTTAGAGACAAATGACAGGGGAAGTCCGGGAGAGGGAACTCGAACTGTGAAAGCGCCAAGAAATTGCTGGGGAGGGGGACCAGAGGGCTAAATTAGGAACTCAGAGATTAGAGTTTTAGAGAGGCGGGAAAGTGAGGACTGGGAAAGAGTGATAAACCAAATATTCAAAGAAAGTGTTTTGCAGAAAGGACTGTGGAGAGGAAAATGGAGCATTTGGAGAACCGAAATAAGAGGGACAATCCAGCCGTGGCCTCTCCAGCCAAACTTTTCGTGACTCTCCAACATGCATTTTTACACGAATCCTCTTCCCTAGGTCTGAAAGAGGCCTAGGGAAAAAGGAAGAAACAAGGAATGGAAAAGTGTGTTGGGCACAGGCTAGAAAAGGAAGCATCAAGGCTCTGGGAAGCATTAAGGGACATGACCTGGGTCCTCAAGAGGAGATGAGGATGGGGGGAAATATTCCAGCTACCTTCTTGATCTTTTGTCCTTTTCTCCCTCAACTCCCCTAGATGCCCGTCAGGGATGGCTGGCTGCCCTGCAGGACCGCAGCATCCTTGCCCCCCTGGCTTGGGATCTGGGGCTCCTGCTACTATTTGTTGGGCAGCACAGCCTCATGGCAACCGAGACAGTGAAGGCATGGACATCCTGGTACTTTGGGGTCCTTCAGAGGTCACTGTATGTGGCATGCACTGCCCTGGCGTTGCAGGTATGAGGCCCTGGCAGCTGAGTCCCCAAAAGAGACAGAGTCTGTGGAAGGGAAGCCCTGGATTGGAAGTGCAAAATGTGGGTTTAGAAGAACTGACAGTTTTCAGGACTTTAATCTCAGCTTCCATTCCTCCACAACACATATCCTAGTTGTTATCAAGAACGGTGTCCTCCTCATTCCCCAAGCACAGTATGTGCTTTCTCACCTTTGCAACTTTGTTCACATTGTCCTGCTTGAGATCCCCTCCTTAACTCCTCTTTATTCTTACCCCTTTTCCAAAACCACTTCCCTAGGTTTCAAGACAAGGCTTTTCAGTTACTACTGTGGTTATCTGTCTTCTCATTAGGTACTTGGCATAGGCTACTTTATATACCTGTCAGAATACACACACACCCCATCTGTAAGTCCTCAGGGTAGAGACAGGTCACCGTTACATCCTTGGGACCCCACGCAGCACCCTCCACATGATGAATATTTGTCGGTGATGTCTGTGAGAAAGGTGGGGGTGAGCTGCAGGGTACCCTGGGGTGGGGACAGCCTCTGGGTCTGGGTCTGGGTCTCTCAAGGGTGGGCAGGGTAGGCTTCTGGGATACCCAGCCCCCCATCCTTCCCCAGCTGGTGATGCGGTACTGGGAGCCTGTACCCAGAGGCCCTGTGTTGTGGGAGGCTCGAGCTGAACCATGGGCTACCTGGGTGCCACTCCTCTGCTTTGTGCTCCACGTCATTTCCTGGCTCCTCATCTTCAGCATCCTTCTCGTCTTTGACTACGCTGAGCTCATGGGCCTCAAACAGGTGAGGCTCCCGGATCCCTACTGAGATCTCTGACCCTTTCTAGAACTCCTCTTTTCCTTCCAAGGATTTCCCTCATCCTTCTTCCAAGCTCTTCCACTTTCCTTCCCCTGGCTTCTTACTCCCTCACCTCTTTCGCATAAGACAAGTCTCCCTTCAGCCTTCCCTCCAAGTCCAGCAACCATGAGCTTCCTGGCCCAGGGAAGGTATGTTGACCAGAGATCAGAGTCAGGGCCCAAGTGTCAGAAGTCGAATTCCTGGGCCTGAGTTCTAGGAGGGTGGTGCCTGGAAGAGGAGGAAAGAGGTGGCTAAATTGGGAAAAGGGTTTGACTCCATTTCTAAGCTAGTCTCCCTCTCCTAGGTGTACTACCATGTGCTGGGGCTAGGTGAACCTCTGGCCCTGAAGTCTCCCCGGGCTCTGCGTCTCTTCTCCCACCTGCGCCACCCAGTGTGTGTGGAGCTGCTGACGGTGCTGTGGGTGGTGCCCACCCTGGGCACTGACCGTCTCCTCCTTGCTCTCCTCCTTACTGTCTACCTGGGCCTGGCTCATGGGCTTGACCAGCAAGACCTCCGCTACCTCCGGGCCCAGCTACAAAGAAAACTGCACCTGCTCTCCCGGCCCCAGGATGGGGAGGCAGAATGAGGAGCTAACTCTTGTTCCAAGCCCTGTACTTCCTCACCCCCTCCAATTCTAAATCCCTTAATATCCAGGCCCTGGTTGCCTCGGACCATAGGTCCAAATCCATGGTCTGAAGGGGGTGTCCTTTTCACTGCTTGAGACCTCATTCCTTGGGGCCACCACCATACCCTAAATTATGAGTTTCAGCGACTAGACTCCAAGGTCCACTTCTCACCAGGAGGAAGAGGGGGTGTGGAACTCATCTGTCCCCTCACACTTTAAGGCATGACTCCCCTTCATCCATCCCTCCTCCCCTCCTCCACTCATCCACAAGAACCTCCTCACAAGGAAAAGGGTCTGCCCTGACCACTCCGCTCACTCGCCTCTGAGCCTCAGGGATCCCCTTCTCCACGTCTCGCTTCCGCTCCAAGGAGCTGGACCAGGGTCTGCAAATTTGACAGTAGTGGCCACCCCCTCCTGACCCCACGCCTTGCCTCTCCACTTCCTGCCCTAGTCTCTCCACCACCTCAGGCCTCGCCCCTGGGCTCCATTCCCCGAACTCAGTTGAGAGGATTCTCTCCTTCATAACTAGGTAGCTTAGGGTTCCCTGCCCTCCTGAGGAACACGCACTGCAGGAAAATAAAATTCAGCCTGTTTTTTCTACATATGGCACGCAGTCTATCAGTTTCTTTCATGCTGCAGGGCTGAATTTGGGAAGGGAGGCGAGCCAGAGCCTGGGAGCGCCAAACTGGAGTTCGGGCAGCCACCCCGCCCTCTGGCGACTGCTGGGCTGCAGCCGCTCCCCGCAGACCCGCCCCCACCTTCCCGGAGCCGCCCAATCCCCCTCCCTCCAAATCTCCCAATTTCTCCGCTGCAGACCAGGGGACCCATGGGGGACAGGGTGAAGCTAAGAAGTGGGGGCCGCAGCTCCGGTAGGGGAGCAAGCTTCCAAAGCCGTTGGCTTCTGAGCGCCTCTCCTGCCGCCCCCCTCCCCACAGGCCCCCTACAGCCTGGCGGCGGCCCTCGACCCCTCAGTAACAAAGGCTGGCCCGGGAAGGCTAAAGCGTGGGGAGGAGCAGCAAGCGGTGGGAAGGGCGGGTCCGGCTCGGAGCAGCTGCCGCTTCCTCCCCAAGTCCCTCGAGGGGCCTGAGTCACGGGCCGCCGCCCTGGGTCGGCGAGCTGGGGGCGGGGGGTCTGTACGGACACCTGGGTTCTCCAGGGCTACGCGGTGGGGTGGGGCCCCTTGGGACAGAGAGCGGAGAGCCGGAGCTTGCGGCGAGAAGAGGGGAGTCCCGCGGAGGAGTCCCACGCGGAGTGGGAGGGAGCGAGGCCACGCCCCCTCCCCGGACTCCGCCCCGCGCCCCCTTCCCTTTCCCCATTGTCCTTAGACAAAGCGATCGTCGCCCCCCGCCCGGCCCCCCGGTCTCTGTCGCCGTCCCTCCTCCCGTGCTCCCTCTTTCCCTCCTCCTCTCCCCCCTCCCCCCTCCCTCCAGTCTCCGGATCTCCCTCGCTCCCTCTCTCCTCCTCTTCCTCTCCTCTCTCCCGACGCCTGGCTCCTCCGCACCCCCTTCCCCCGGGGCCCCGCGGCTTGTGAGTTCACTGAGGGGCTCAGACTTGGGGAGGGAGGGTGTCTCCTCGCTCCCGTCCCTTCTCCCGTCCCTGGCCCGGACCTTGGGCTGTCTCCGCTTTGTGCCGAGATTGTCTATCCGTGCGGTCAGAGCGGGGTCAGGATGGCCGGCTATGTCTGGGTTCCATGAGAGCGGGGACCGGGGCACTGGACTCGCGTGACTGAGCTGGAGAGAAGAGGCGTGGAGCCGGTGCTCGGCACGCCCGGGTCCCGGGAGCAGCCGGTGGAGGAGGCAAACGGTGCTGACGGCACTGGGTGGGGGTGGACGCCAGGGTTCTGGGAACTCGCTGGCAGCCCAGACACCCGGTCCCGAAAGTCCCCTGGGAGGGTAAGTCCCTTGACCCGCCTTGGGGGCGGAGTGCGGGGCGGAGGTGTGGGGGTTGGAGGACAGGAGAGGCGTGGCCCGAGCAGAGCTGGAAGGGGAGCCGGGACCTTTGGGGCCCGCGCTGAGACGCGCCGGGCTGCTGCAGGGGCGCTCCCTTTCCCCTCTGTTCCCCGATTTCCCCTTCCCCTAGACTTCTTCACTCTCCGCCCTTCCTCACCTCTCCAACATCCTCTGAGGTCCCGCTGCCCTCTGACCTTCCTTCCCACTCTCACCTCCCCTGGGGTCTTGGTGGGGCAGCCTCTCACCCCAGCCCTTCTTTTCTCTCTTCTCCCTCACTCCGACTTCTCTCTTTGCTCTTCCCTTTCCTTCTCACATCCTGGGGACTGTCTTGAATACCCTTTAACCCTGTACTGCCAAATCTGGTTCCTGCCTGTTTGCCTTGAATCTCGACTCTTCTTCTCACATTACCCGCACCCCCAATTTGGCTCTTCACCTTTTCAGTTTCCCCCTTTGGCTGCCCTCTCTCTTCTCCCTCTGTCCTCGTCCTCTGCCCTTCCCCGTGTCCCATCTCTCCCCTTTCATTTCCTCTCCCCCCACACCAGTCTCACCCCTGGGCCTCCCCTGAGCTGCTTCTTCCTGTTCTCTGCCCCCAGTGCTCCCTGCCCTCACCCAAGGCGACCATGGCTACCATCCCAGACTGGAAGCTACAGCTGCTAGCCCGGCGCCGGCAGGAAGAGGCATCTGTTCGTGGCCGGGAGAAAGCAGAGCGGGAGCGCCTGTCCCAGATGCCAGCCTGGAAGCGGGGGCTCCTGGAGCGCCGCAGGGCCAAGCTTGGGCTGTCCCCTGGGGAGCCTAGCCCTGGGCCTGGGACTGCAGAGGCTGGACCTCCAGACCCAGATGAGTCTGCTGTCCTTCTGGAGGCCATCGGGCCGGTGCACCAGAACCGATTCATCCGGCAGGAGCGGCAGCAGCAGCAGCAGCAACAGCAACAGAGGAGTGACGAGCTGCCCTCCGAAAGAAAGCCTGGGCCTCTTGAGGCCCGGGAGCAGCGACCCAGCCCTGGGGAAATGCGGGATCAGAGCCCCAGGGGAAAAGAGTCAAGAGAAGATAGGCTAAGTCCCAGGGAGACCAGAGAGAGGAGGCTGGGGATTGGGGGAGCCCAAGAGTCGAGTCTCAGGCCTTTGGAGACTCGGGACTGGAGGCAAAGCCCAGGAGAGGTGGGAGACAGGAGCTCCCGGCTGTCAGAGGCACGGAAATGGAGGCTGAGCCCTGGAGAAACTCCAGAGCGGAGTCTGAGACTGGCAGAGCCTCGAGAACAAAGCCCCAGGAGAAAAGAGGTGGTGGAAAGTAGACTGAGTCCAGGGGAATCTGGCAACCAGAAGTTGGGCCTGACAGAGGCTCATAAATGGAGGCCTCATTCTGGTGAGTCTCAGGAACAGATTTTGGTACAACTGGAGGCATCAGAGCGGAGGCTGAGCTCAGAAGAAGAAAGAAAAGACTGCTTGGAGGAATGTGGGAGAAAAGAAGAGAGGCCAATTCCAGGGATGGCCCCAGAAGAGATTACAGGGTTGTCAGAGACCCTGACAAGGGAGGCTCAAAACAACAGCTCCAGAGGAGTGGAGGCAGCAGAACAGAGGCCCAGTCCTGTGGAGGATGGTGAGAGGGGCTTGAGGATGACAGAAGGGTGGAAATGGACCCTGAACTCTGGGAAGCCTCGAGAATGGACATCCAGGGACATAGAGACTCAGAAACCAGAACCTCTAGAGTATTCTGAGAAGTGTCTGGGGCATCCTGGTATAGAGGCTGGAGAAGAGGAGGCCGAGAAGGAGGAGGCAGGGGCTCAGGGCAGGCCTCTGAGAGCCCTGCAGAACCGCTGCTTTGTGCCCTCCCCCCTCCCCCCAGAGGACACTGGGACTGGAGGCTCGAGAGAGCAGGAAGAGGAAGCAGTGGAACTCCGGCCCCCCCCCCCAGCCCCTCTGTCTCCCCCACCCCCAGCCCCGACTGCCCCCCAGCCCCCTGGGGATCCCCTCATGAGCCGTCTGTTCTACGGGGTGAAGGCAGGGCCAGGGATGGGGGCCCCCCGCCGCAGCGGACACACCTTCACAGTCAACCCCCGGCGGTCTGTGTCCCCTGCAACCCCAGCCACTCCGGCCACCCCAGCCACAGCTGATGCTGCAGTCCCTGGGGCTGGGAAGAAGCGGTACCCAACTGCCGAGGAGATCTTGGTTCTGGGGGGCTACCTCCGTCTCAGCCGCAGCTGCCTTGTCAAGGGGTCCCCCGAAAGGCACCACAAACAGGTAGGGGAGCAGCCAAGCCAGACTTCTTAGAAGCTACTCATCAATTCTCTCTGGACTCCAGTCTTCCTTTCTTTTTTATACCCTGTATTCTTCCTCTGTTCTTTAATTCCTGCCACTACCCTTCCTCCCTCTGCACACTCACTCTGCCTTCTTGCAGCCCTTCTTTTCCATTCATTTCTGAGCCCCAAGGATCCTGCCCAGCAATCAAATGCTGTCTCTGGGTGTGTCTCTTCCAGGGTGTGCCAGGCCGCTCATTCTCCTTTCCCTCAGGCTCTGAGTTTATCCCCCGCCCCCCTCCATCGCTTTCCTTCCTTTCCTCTGAGTCTGTGACCTACACCAGCCCATCTGGTGGGAGATGTAAGCCCAAGCCGACAACCTTGAATCTACCAGGGTCACCAGGGTGAAAGCACTTAACAGCTTTTCAAGGGGAGAGAATGTCAGGGCAGGAAGCCTAGGGACTTTTCGGATTCTAGAGAGAAACAGCAGGGAGAAATGAGGGGAGGAAAGTCTCTCAGCCCCAAGGAAGAGGGGCCAAAGCTGAGTGGGGACATCCTATGACAGAGTGGGGAGGGGGATGAAACAGGGCTGGCCAAAGAACCCCGAGTCTGCCCCATGGGAGAGATGCACACAGAGGCCATTTGAAGTGGGTGACCTCGGGGTTGCACACCCCCAGCTGGGCCACTGCTTCAGACAGTACTCCCTTCTCTCTTGGGACAAGAAAAGCCTTCTCTTCCAAAATACGCCCCCTGTCACTCCCTGTCCTTCCTCCCAGGGTTTCCCCTCCCTCCCCAGAACTGGCTTAGCAATCGGTTTTCCCCTCTCTTTCTGCCACCCCAGCCTCTCCCTCCACTTGAGGGAGAAAAAGAGAGCATTGCATTTGGAGGCACAGGGCTGAGAGCAGGGACTGGCCAGGTAGTATGATGGGAGCTGGGGACGGGGTGGGGGCTGAAGCCAGCAGAGGGTCAGAGGTTAGATAGACTTGAACAAGAACATGCAGGGAAGTGGGAGCAGCCAGGCTTTCTCCCTCTGGCCCTGGCCCAACTCCTTCCCTATACACCCAATCAGTTTCCAGCTTGAACATCTCTAGACAGAGAGAGGGCCCACACTCAGATGTCTCAGACTCAGAAGTCCCTCATACATCTCCCTGGGAAGCCCACTTTCATCCTTATGCCATGTGTTAACATTCTCAGGTTTGTTTTTTTGGTCCTCAGTGGCAGTGGGAAACCCCAGGGACCAAAGATCTGAGTTAAGCTTGGGGGTCATTTGATCCCCCAACACATCTGCACATGAAGCTTAAGCTTCCAAACTGAGCCAGGGTACTTGGGAGTCTCCCCTGAGCCCTCTGACTGCTACCAGCCCCTTCCATTCAGAGCTGAGAAGTTGCAAAGGAGGGATGTCAGGAAATTCTACCAGGGTGAGGTGGTCACAAAAGTCACTTCCTACTGAGGTTGGCTTGTGCCTCTGGGGAGAACTGAGCAGAGGGAGGCATGAAGCTTTGGTGCCCAAAGCCCAGGGACCACAGAGGGGAGCCAGGAACTGAGTGTAGGGCAGGACTTGTGATGGTGGCCATACCTAGGTCAGGGAGTAGGGGGGCCGGAAGCAGATCACCCAAACAGGAAGCCTGGGGTGGGGGCGGAAGGCTGGTGTGTCTAAGTGGGGAGCGCTGGGCCACGGGCCTGCCAGAACTGTGCTCAGGATGTGGTGAGAGAATACGGAAGCAGCCGCGCTGGGTGGGGGCGGGAAAGAGGCAGCACCAAGTTCCCTGCACCCAGACACCTCACCCTCTGCCTTCCATCAGGCCTTCTCCCCTCTCTCAGCACCCTGCTCATCAGGGACTGATGTGCTCTCTCCCAACCCACCGGCTCAGGGACAGGAGGCCCCTGCTCACCCACCCCAGGCTTTCCCTAAATAACTGCTCTTTGCAGGCTAATTCCATCAGACTTGTCCCTGCCATCAGGACAGAAATCCCAGCCTTGCCACTGGAGCCCAAGGAATGGACTGTCGCTGGTGCCCTTCCTCAGCCCCTCCCCTCTCCAGCCCCCTGTGACCTTATATAGCTGATGGGAGAGGAGCGAGTGAGTCACGCCTCCCTGTCTCCCCCCCACTCCCATGCAGGCTGTGCATTCCTGAGAAGCCCAGTCAGAAGTTGGGGGTGGGGGGGGAGAGGAGAGAGGCAGGGTGGGGGGAGAGACAAAAAACGTAGACTGAGAACAAATAAAATAAATCCTTTTTCAGAGTGGATAATAAACTACAGAGGTTGTAATCCCAAAAAAGGGGATATGAAAAGAAAACAGAAATGGGTTCCCAGAAATTTGGTTAAATTTATCAGTAACAGAACCATAAGTGGTCCCTCTTGAGAAGCTGGGATGTAAGTGGTCTGGTTGCTGTCGCTTGATTCTACCAACAGTTCCACAGACACGGACTGGGAGTCAACTGTGTACAGGCTGGGCTATTCCCACACTGTTCCTCCACCACTGGTCCTCTCTTGGGTCCTCTTGTGAGGTCTGGACAAACCCTTACCTTATCCACTGGAGTACCCTCCAAGCTCCTTTTTATTTTTTTTTTAATAGAAAACCTAGATCTAAGCTCCTTTTGACAGCAGGCACAAATATAATAAGTAAATTCTCTAGTAGGTTAGAAGGTGGTAAGTGATTATGGAAAAAAAAATTAGACAGGAGTAAATGGAATGTAGAGGGACAAGAGGTGAGGGGAGTGAATATGACAACTTCAGAATAAGGCGATCAGCAGCCATGGGCTTATTTGAGGGAAGAGTGTTCCAGGCAGAGGGAACAGCCAGTGCAAAAGCCCTGAGGTGGGAGTCCACATAGTGTGGCTGGAGTGGGAGAGGATGCCAGAGCGTTGAGGGGGCATTGGCACATTGGGAGAACCCTGTAGGCTTTGGTCAGGCTCTGGCTTTCGCTGCAAGTGAGATGGGGAGGCATTGCAGGCTTTGGAGCCAAGGAGTGACACAGACAGTCCCCAAGTTCCAGCTTCCCATGGGGACCCTGGTATCATATCCCATACAGCCCTTTGGGGTTACCTGTCCAGCCACCCTCCTGGCTTCTCTCTTCTCGCACCCCAGCCCATGGGAGACTCAGAGATACAGGGCCCCAGCCCCAAACGGACACCAGGGAAGGCCCAAGTACGTCATCTAGACCTTTCCAAGTAGTTCACGTGGAATCCTCCTGAGTGTCTCCCTAATCCCTTTGGCTCCCAGAGTTAATTCCACCCTGCCCCTTCCCCCTGAGCTTCTTAAGAGGGCAAACGGGAAGGGTAGAAAAGACAGTGAGAACAACTAAGACAGTGAGAACAACTGGGACTTGCGTGCTCTTGGAACAGTGTCTTTATGAAGGATTTTCTGCCCCCGCTCTGGTCTCTCGCCTCTGCCTGTCCCTTCTGACGCACTCTCCACTCCTACCCTACGTTTTTTCGGACTTTCCTCTCTGCCCTTGTCACCTCCCTCAGCCGCACCTTTCAGGGACTCAGGGGCTCATCTTCTCCCGTGTGTTGGGGGAAAGTCTGCTGGTTCCTCGAGGCTTTCCTGTCAGTCTCCCATCCCCTTCCAGGCCCTTGACCCCCTTTGCTGTGGGCCTACTTACTCCAGGGGAGGAGGAGGGGGTGGGTATCGGGGTCCTGACTTTCCCAGAGGACAGCAGGGGGTCGAGGGTATGGAAACCAATGTGCCTGTTCTTGCTTTTGCCTGGGACTCCCTCCCCAGCCAGCTCTTTCCTGTCTGGCCAGCTCGAACCTCATCTCCGTTGGGAAGCCTACCTGATTTCCCCCAGGGTGCCCAAAGACTCAGTTCTGATCACAGGGCTTATCTCCGTGTATTTTAATTTTTTTTCACCCCTCTACCTCACACTCTAAAGAGCAGGGACCTTAGTCCTGTATTATTTCTGCCTCCCAAGCTCTTACCAAAAGAACAGGCCAAAGTCTGATGTTTCCCAAGTGATATGATTGAAGAGGGAAGATCAAGGATTGGAGAGCCAGTATCGAAAGGAAAACTGGATCCCAGAGTGGATGGGGAGGGGAGAATAAGCCGGGTGCCTGAGTCCAGCCCCCACTCTCCGCCGCTACTCGTTGCCCTGCGGGCTTCTCCCGGGCTGAGTTTGCCTCCCCACTTTCTCTTCCAACTTCAGCTCAAGATCTCCTTCAGCGAAACAGCCCTGGAGACTACGTACCAATACCCCTCTGAGAGTTCGGTACTGGAGGAGCTGGGCCCAGAGCCTGAGGCTCCCAGTGCCCCCAACCCTCCGGCGGCCCAACCCGACGACGAAGAAGACGAGGAGGAGCTGCTGCTGCTGCAACCAGAGCTCCAGAGCGGGCTGCGCACCAAGGCCCTTATCGTGGGTAAGCAGAGGCTCCGCCGGCCCCAGGGCGCCCCCTGGTGTCAGAGCGGGCACTGCGGTCCAGGAGGGAAGGGGAGGATTTCTTGTTGGCTCTTGGAAGGGGCTTAGCAGGACTTCTAGCCCATTCCATTCCTTTAACAGATGGGGAAACTGAGGTCCTGGAGAGTGAAACGCACATTGATTCTTCATATTTCAAAACCGGAGCTCCTTCTGAGCGCTCTAGTCTGGTTAAAAACACAGGGTTTAGGTCAGACGGGCCTGAGTTTGAATTCCAGCTTGTCTCTTGTGCTGTGACCTCTGAGAAACCGTCTGACCTCTGACCTCTGGCCTCGGTCTATTATTTATGAAATGAGGCTAATAATAACTACCTGCTGGAGTCGTTGACAAGATTAAGTAATTTTTGTGAAGCACCTAGAACTATGGCTAAATATCAAATTATTTAACCTCTCCTGAGGTTATTGTGAGATGAAATGAGTTATAAGAACACCTGGTACGGGCCAAGCCCGTGGCCCACTCGGGAGAGTGCGGCGCTGGGAGCGCAGCAGCGCACTCCCGCCGCGGGTTCGGATCCTATATAGGAATGACTGGTGCGCTCACAGCGCTCACTGGCTGAGCGCGGTGCGGCCGGTCTCAAAAAGGACTCCTGGTACAATCCAAGCTAAATGAGTGATGGCTGTTGTTACTGGTAATAACAAGCATTCAAGACATGGAAGATATTATAGGACTTGCTATATGCCAACTGCCCTTCAGTTCGGGGGCTGGTGGGGAGGGCAAGGAGGCAGAGACCCTCACTCATTCTCTATCATTATTGCCTCCTCTCCCACAGATGAGTCCTGCCGGCGGTGACCCTCTTCCAACATAGGGACATATCTCCCTCCTTCCCAGAACTGAAGATCCTGGAGCCCAGAAGATTCAGAGCAGACAGACCCTGAAAATGAGCCTGGCAGGGAAGGGCAACCAACATCTTCCAACGTGCTTTCCCCATCCTGTTTCTGGGGGCAGAGCCAATTGCCCAAGTTCCATCCTAACCCAAGGTCCTGGTGTGGGTAGGGTCAAATGTGCTGGTGCATCCTAGGTGACCCAAGAGTGAGCACCAAGTCCTGGGGAGGATCACAGAACTCACTGGGGGGTGGAGATGGAGCCCCCTCCCCAATTCCATGGCAGTGTACACGCTTCCCACAGCCTTTCTTGACTCCCCACCACCCCCTGGGGACTCTCAGGATTTAATCATTCATCTCCCTGGGAGGCCTAGACCCCACTCCATTTACAGGCATGTCTCCCTCCTGTTCCTTAGGTCACTGCCCCTTTGTTTACAGCTCCTGCCTCCTCTCTTGACCACAGCCTGGTTTACAAATCCCACAAGCTCCTGGCCCCACCTGCCGAAGTCCCAGGTTTACAAGCCACACCTACTTGCCATGTTCACATGGAATCCTGTTCCCTGTCCCCTCCAGTCATCTCATTGGGAGTGACCTGGGGGTGTGGTTCCCTCCACTTTTGTTCAGTATTACTGTGCCTCAGTTTTCCCCAAGAGGGAAGGCTGGCATTCTTAACTCTGTACCCTGTGATTTATTTAATTCTGTTGCTCTTAGTGGTTCACAGTTGAATTGAATTGCAGTGGTGTGGGGTAACTAAGGTGGCACCTCACCTCTCCTCCCCCATTGTTCCTTGTTTATCAATGCCTGTTTTGTTTGTTTTTTAACTTTCTGTAATAAAATGGTGGTCTCTCCAACTCTCCCACTGCTTCTCCTTCTTAAGAAAAAAAAGTGCATGCGGGCGGTGGCGCACTGCTATAGTGCGCCGCTTGGGAAGCGCGGCGGCGCTCCCGCCGAGGGTTCGGATCCCACATACAGACCGGTTCCTGCTCGCTGGCTGAGTGAGGCGCCGGAGCAACGCCGAGGCTTGCGATCCCGTTGCCGGTCCCCGGTCCGGTACTGGTCCGGTACGGGGGCGACACTGAGGGTTGCGATCCGTTGCCGGACATGGAAAAAGACAAAAAAAAAAAAAAAAGTGCATGTGAGGGGAGGCTCTGGGGGCTGTGGGAGGGGAAACTGATGGGAGATTGTCTTAACCCACTTCTGTTTCTTATAACAAAATACCTGGAACTGGGTGATTTACAAGAAAACAAAATTTATTGCTTACAGTTTCAGAGGCTGAGAAGTTCAAAGTCCGGGGAACACATCTGGTGGGGGTGTTCTTGCTGGTGGCTTTACAGCAATGCAGGGGTCTCAAATGGCAGAAAATGGCAGAGCAGGGAGAGACTAACCTCATTCACTCTCCTTTTAAAGCCCTCCAGACCATGTTCATGACCACCATTTTTAATCCATTCACTACTGCATGGTCCTACAGTCTAATTACCTCTTCAAGGCCCTAACTTTCAATTACCGTAGTAGGATTTCCCACCTTCAACAGTTACAGTGGGGATCAGGTTTTGGGGGGATGTTCACCCCAAGACAGGTATGAACCAGGAACTCAGCAATGACATGTAGCAAGAGCTCTGGAGAGCCAGAATGAGTTTCATGTAGGACAAGCAGAAGACATGAGGATGGGCAGTTGAAGTGTCCACTAGACTGTAAGTGTCATGAGGGTAGACTATGTCGGTTGGGTTCACTGCAGTATCCCCACACCTGGCAGCTAGTAAATACACACAATTATTTTTAGAATGAGTGACAAAATAAATGAATATTCATTTGTTGATGAATGAAAAGATGAAAAGAGCTTAAAAATTGGAAGCAGAGCAAGGTCAAGGGTTCAGATCCCTGTAAAGGCCAGCTGCCAAAAAAAAAAAAGGAAAAACATGAAAGCAGAGGACATTCTGAGTTGTAGGGTTCCAATATTCAGAAGGTTGCTGCAATGCAAGCAGTCAGGCAGTGTATGACACACAACCCATGGGTTAATCCAGGGACATTTACTCCAAGGCTCAGGACCATGAAGAGTAAGTCTCCTGAAATTGCTGCAATATGTATGGACAGAAGTGCAGTTTCCTGGAAAAGGTTCTCCTCTAACAGACAATGGATTATTTGTTCCTAAAAGTTTAAGAAGCATTAATAATTGTATTAGTCCATTTCTGTTGCTTATGACAAAATACATGGAACTGGGTATTTCATAAAGAAAACGAAATTTATTGCTTACAGTTTCAGAGGCTAGGAAGTCCAAAGTCTAGGGAACACATCTCTCTGGTGAAGGCTTTCTTGGTGGTGACTTGAGTGATGGCATTTCGAAATGGCAGAGCAGAGAGAGAGAGTAACCTCTTCACTCACTTTCCTTTCAAAGCCCTCCAAGGGCCAGCCCATGGCTCACTTGGGAGAGTGCGGTGCTGATAACACCAAGGCCAAGGGTTTGGATCCCTATATAGGGATGGCCAGTTAGCTCACTTGGGAGAGCGTGGTGCTGACAACACCAAGGCAAGGGTTAAGATCCCCTTACCAGTCATCTTTAAAAAAAAAAAAAAAAAAGCCCTCCAAACCATGCCCCTGACCACCATTTTTAATCCATTCACTGCAGTGTGGTCCTACAATCTAATCACCTCTTCAAGGCCCCACCTTTCAATTACCATAATAGGACTTCCCACCCTCAACAGTTACAGTGGGAATTAACTTTTGGGGGGACATTCAACCCAAGGCAATAATTCATGGCTTTGCTGCCTACGTATAGTTGATATTAGGGGGATTTCCCGTTAAAGAATCTCTATATTATATTTAGATTAAAGAATCTCTATATTGTACAAATGTAGAACATCTATATTTTACTCATCAGGGTTTTTTTTTTTGTTTATTTTTAACTCTCCAGGTAATAAAGACATGGTTGAGGAGTTACAGTCCTTCTACCACTACAGGTTGCTTCTCTCAGACTAGTCAGAGGAGAATCCTTTACTAAAAACAGAATGTATTAGACAAATTGATCTTTTTGGATTTGTTTGTTGGTGGCTGGCTAGTATGGGGATCCAAACCCTTGAACTTGGCGTTACAGCACCAAGCTCTAACCAACTGAGCTAACCAGCCATCTCCTGACAAGTTGATTTTAAGCATATGCCAAAGGTCTACAATTCACTAGCAATGGAACAGGCAAGGTGTCAAAAGAGTGAACTAATTCAGATAAGGCATGGGTATGGAGGGAACAGAATGGCTACATTAATAGCTAATTAAAGATCCTAATCAGTTGTGACCCAGGAATACAGAGGCAGGAAGCTCTGAGATGCCAGGGATGCCCACAGCCCATCTCAGAAACAGAATCAATACATCCAAGAAGTCGATGATCTAGATCCAGCCGTAGCTGTTAACTGGAATAACAAGGTTTCATTACCAAACAGTAGTGTCCAATCAATCCAACTAATGACAGAAGTATGAAGCAGGGTCAAACAGAGATCAGACAGCAGAGCATCAAGTAACAAATTCAGCGTATTTTTAAATAAGCAGCCACCAGTGAATTTCTCAAGCTGTTAGCAAAAATGCAGAACACAGTTTGCCCATTCCTTAGTTTGGAGATTTTTTTTTTTTTAATAACTTTCCCCAGTTTCCAAGTTTCTTCCTGCCTGGAGGTCCTCCCTTATGCCTAATCTGTATTCACTCCTGCTGTAGATACCAGTCCTAGCAAAGGTCAATTCTAATCACCACAGGCCAATCTTTTATAAGCATGGATTTGAAAGAGAATCCGTGTCCTTCCTACCCCCTTGCATTATTTTTGACACAATAGAAATTACATATTTTACTTATTCATTATGTGTCTTGTCTACTCCCACATCAGAACGTACATTCAGTAAAGGATTTTGTCTGATTTGTTTTCTGCTGTATCCCCAGAGACTGAAACTGTGCTTAGAACACATTTGGCGCTCATTCAATTCATTTCATATGTTAACTGAATGAATGAGCGAAACACCCACAGACTGACCATCAGGGGGCGACAGAGAGATTGGGAGGGGCGGAAATGAGGAAAATGTATTACCCGAGCTTCAGGTACGGTTCCTCGAGGTTTGATCTCGCTCGGCCACCGTAGTACGTAGGCCGAAAAGGGCAGCCCCTTCCGGGCTCTGCGGTACGGGAAGACAGCTTTGCGTTCATGGACACCGAACCTAGAGGCCCTAAGGCTGCTCCGTTGCGAAGCTAAGGCTTCGGCCGAGGGCTGCAGGGCCTCCGACCGGCCCGGCCGCCAACGTGGCTGTTTCGGACGCTTCGGGGCCAGGAGCAGGGTGCGTGGGTCGCTATGGCAACGCCGGCGGGGCTGGAGCGCTGGGTTCAGGACGAGCTTCACTCAGTGCTGGGGCTGAGCGAGCGGCACGTAGCCCAGTTCCTTATCGGTACCGCGCAGCGTTGTGCCTCGGCCGAGGAGTTCGTGCAGCGTCTACGAGACACCGATACCCTGGACCTTAGCGGGCCGGCCCGGGACTTCGCTCTGAGACTCTGGAACAAGGTGTCGGGAGCCGTTGGGCGGGGCCGGGTGTGGGCGCGGCGGGAGAGGGAGGAGAGAAACGGAGGGGACCTATGTTATTTGTCTACTGAGGAATTAAGTAAGCTCAGCTCACAAGCATTTATCCTTTGTCGCTTAGTTACTGTGCTAGGTGCTGGGCGTTTAGCTGATTGGAGAAGATCTTGGAGGTCTTGAGGGATACAGAGCAGTGTTCCTCGAACTTGAACATGCATAGGATTCATCCAGGGCCCTTGTTAAAATGCAGATTCTGAGTCAGTGAGGATCTTAGTTTTTGCATGTCCAACAAGTTTCTAGGTGATGCTGATGGTCCACGGATCATGGGAAGCACTGTGGAGTGGGGGTGGTGATCTGGAAAAGCAAGCCCAAAGATTCCCTGGAATTTGGCAGGTAGAGAAGGGGGAAGGAGTAAAGGTATAAAAGGTGAGCTCCTGGAGGACAGGACTGTGCATTTCTTGTCTTTGTATTCCTCCTACCTAAGTTTCCTGCCTTACAGAATAGGTGCTCAGTAAGTATTTAGAAAGAGCAAAAATTTTCAGAGAATGGCAGATAGCCTGGTATGGCTGTGCTATGTGGTGTTGGTGAGAGATGAGGTTAGAATGTAAGTACCTTGAGGGTAGGGACTTTATGTTTCTGTTCATCAGTGTATCCTTGGAGTCTGGTACAGTGCTAGCCATAGGACAGGCACTGTCATATTTCAAAATAACCCTTGTAGTATGTCAGTTCTTGTGTAGAAATGACCTAATCATTGGGAAGAGCAGAGCTATGAGAAAGAACCCAAGCAATTGAGAATTGGGTTTAAGAATGTAAGCTCTGCCAAAAAAAGAAAAAAAAAGGTTGGTTGGTTAGTTCAGTTGGTTAGAGTGTGGTATGATAACACCGAGGTCAAGTGTTCAGATCTCCTTTCTGGCCATGTGCCAAAAAAAAAAAAAAAAATGCAAGCTCCACGAGGGCAGGGATTTTTGTCTCTTTTAGGTATTCCTGTATCCCTAGTACCTAGCAAGTACATGGCGCATGGGACAGGTCTCAAAAAATGTTTATTGGGCCGGCCTGGTGGCGCACTCAGTAGAGTGTGGCGCTTGGGAGCGCGGGGGCACTCCCGCCAAGGGTTCAGATCCCATATAGAGACCGGTCCGCTCACTGGTTGAGCACGGTGCGGGCACGACACCGAGGGTTGCGATCCCGTTACCGGTCACGAAAAAAGACAAAAAAGAAAAAAAATGTTTGTTAAATGAATGACAAAGGAAGTTCAGAAGTTGAGAGGCCCCATTCAGGCTGAGGAACATGGGGTGAAGCCATGGGGAGGAGAGAGAAAA